ATCACGGCGTCACTGCGGTTTGACGGGGCCCTGAACGTCGACCTGACCGAGTTCCAGACCAACCTGGTGCCCTACCCGCGCATCCACTTCCCCCTGGCCACCTACGCCCCCGTGGTTTCAGCCGAGAGAGCTTATCATGAGCAGCTTTCGGTGGCCGAGATCACCAACTCCTGCTTTGAGCCAGCCAACCAGATGGTGAAGTGCGACCCTCGCCACGGCAAGTACATGGCCTGCTGCCTGCTGTACCGCGGGGACGTGGTGCCCAAGGACGTCAACGCCGCCATCGCCACCATCAAGACTAAGCGCAGCATCCAGTTTGTGGACTGGTGCCCCACGGGCTTCAAGGTGGGCATCAACTACCAGCCGCCCACGGTGGTGCCGGGGGGGGACCTGGCCAAGGTGCAGCGCGCCGTCTGCATGCTGAGCAACACGACGGCCATCGCCGAGGCCTGGGCTCGCCTGGACCACAAGTTTGACCTGATGTACGCCAAGCGAGCCTTCGTGCACTGGTACGTGGGCGAGGGCATGGAGGAAGGGGAGTTCTCCGAGGCGCGGGAAGACATGGCCGCTCTGGAGAAGGATTACGAGGAGGTGGGCCTGGACTCCTATGAGGACGAAGAGGAGGGCGAGGAGTAGAGAAGCCCCTGCCAAAAAGGACCGTGCTCCTTCCCCGTGTTACCTGCAGAAATCCTTTGCAATAAACCGTTTCAGAGCCTCCGTGTCTCCCACTAACCCCCCAGCCGTATCGGTTTCTTGCCAGGTCAGGTGTGTGGTGAGTGCTTCAGCTCTGCTGCTGGTGCTGCTATGCTTCCTCCCAGCGCTCTGCTCCAACTCCGGCTTGCTCCCCACGCAGGTAAGAGCCCTTGGGACCGTGGCACACATCCCACCCCGCTCGCTGCTCCAGCCAGGGGTGGGTACTGCTTCCTCGTGTGGTATATGGCCCCGCGTTGTATCCTGGAGCCCAGAGGAGCAGATTTAGCCTGGGCAGGAAAAAATCCGCAGCTGCTGGGACTCTTCCCACATGCAGCCAGAGGGTAGGTGGGCTTGTCTGGAAGGAGAGTGGTTGAAGCAGTGGGAGCAGCCTGGCACCCCTGTCCTTGTGGCCACGGCGCAGGACAAGGGGCATGCCTGGCTCTGCAGTGCAGCAGGTGCACCCCACAAGGACCTCCAGCATGGCATGAACCCCCGCAGCTGCTTTTCTGCTGTGTTGTGGTGAGAGGATTAAAGGAGGGGAACCCTCCCTGTGAAACCGTTTGTCTGCATCTCTTTTTTTACCCCCCCTGCTGCGGACAGCTCAACTTCTACGTGTCCCAGTGAGCCTCTCCAGCCAAGGGTGGTTGTGCCATCCCCAGGCTTTGCTCGCCCCCACCGGAGCAGGGCTGCCGCCCCTTCCCCCCTGCCACCGCCTGCCTGCGCTGTGCTGAGCCCCCTTCCCGCAGTGCCCAGCCCCGGAGGCTCCGAACAGCGGCACCTGGCTCCAGCTGCAGAGTGGTGTTAACTCCCATTAGGAGCACACTGGGGCCAGGGATTAACTTTCCCTGCTTATTGCTAATGCTCCGTGCCACCCCACCGGGGCCGTCCTCCGCTGCCCTTCCCCTCTGGCAACGCTTGGTGGCTCAACCCAGACAGCATGCCCTGCTGTCCTCCTGTCCCTGCTGGGATCCCCTCCCCGCAGACAGGGACACATCCACACCTCCGCAAGAACATCTTTTACTCCAAACACAAGGCAACGTTGGCGCCGAGAGCAGTGGCGGACCGGGTGCCGGGTCCTCCCCACCTTGCTCCAGCACCACACTGGGACCCAGACTGCAGCTCTGCCCCGGGCAGAGTGACCCTCCTGGGGTGCAGAGCTGCAGGGCCACGGCTGCCGTCACCTGGGGGATCCCACAGCATCCTCCTCTGCAACCCCCAGGGGAGGCAGCAGCCGGCGAGAACCCCGTGTTTAGCAGCAGGTCACATGTCCACAGTTCTGGGGCACAGACCAAGTCCCAGGCAGCAGCATCCAGGGCACAGATCACTCCAAATCCAACACACCTCTGGCACAGAGCAGCATCTCTCCCCCGAGTGTGGCAATCACCTCTGCAACGGCTCCGTGGGGGAGCAGGGACGAAGGCAGCTGCTTTTCCCCTGGCTCATCCTCAGGGCACATCGCTACCGCGGGGTGGGACGGGCTCAGATCTGCGTGGTGTCCTGGCCCACCGGCGCTGGCTGCAGCCCCTCCAGCTGGTGGAGGATGTCATTTATGCTGGGCCGCTCCTGGGGGTTCAGCGTCATCATGGAGGAGAGCAGGTGTTGCAAGGCAGCCGAGTACCTGGAGGAAAGACAGCGAGGGGGGTCTGCATGGTGCACAGCACAGGGGGCTGCCTGGGAGCAGGGTCGCCCTCCCCAGCTCCTCACCTGGTCGTGGGGGGCATGGCGATGGGGTTCTGCACTGCCAGAGCCACACTGTCGCCCTTCTGGAAGATGGCGTCGTAGGGGCCCTCCCCAAACATCATGCAGTACAGCACGCAGCCTAGGGACTGGAGCGCGGTGGGGTCAGGGCAACCCCACAGTGGGGGGCTGGGGGCTGGGGGGCTGGATCCTTACCCAGATATCTGTGCGCTCGTCTATGACGCACTGGCTCGGCACCGTGAAGAGCTCAGGGGCACGGTAGGAGATGGTGCAGCGCTGAGCGGCCCAGTCCTGCAGGATCTATGACGCACGGTCTCGGCACCGTGAAGAGCTCAGGGGCACGGTAGGAGATGGTGCAGCGCTGAGCGGCCCAGTCCTGCAGAGAGGAGGGTGAAGGTGGGGGTGAAGGGCTTGGGGCAGGGATGGGCTGGTGGGGTGATGTCCCAGGGCACCCACCTGCACGGCCATGGCCTCCCGAGAGCTGTTGACTTCGATGTGAGCTTGGTTCATGGAGCCCAGGTCCATCAGCACAGGCCGGTCATCCTCATCCAGCAGCACGTTTGTGGGCTTGAGGTCCCTGTGGGGATGGACGTCACTGAATGCCCGCTGGGGCGCCTGCCATCCCCCCCAGCCGGGGCTGCCGGCCCCCTACCTGTGCGCATAGCCCTTGCTGTGGATGGCTTGCAGCCCGCAGCAGATGCCGTGGAGGATGAGAAGGATCCGCTGCTCTGGCATGAAGGTCCCTTTCTCTTGCAGTGCTTCCACCTCGCTCCAGAGGGTTCCCCCCTGGCAAACGCAAGCAGCCGGTCACCACTGCCGCTGCCGGCAGCAAGGGGGTGGGGGTGGCCAGGGGAGCCCCCCTCACCTTTTCGTAGGGCAGGAGAAGCCAGGCTTCATGCTTGGTGCCCTTCTCCACCATGCAGTGGGCCTCCAGACGCAGGATGTTGGGGTGGTCGAAGAGGCCGTGCATCTCTACCTCGTGCAGGGCAGCCTGGCGGTCCTCCTTGTCGTGGCACAGGATGCGCTTCAGGGCATAGAAGCGTCCATCCCGCAGACCCTCCACCAGGTCCACATAGCTGAAGCCCCTGCGAGGAGCCGAGCGTGGCATGGGCTGGGTGTCCCATGCAGCACCCATGTTGGGGCCTTGTGCCCAGCCTCAACTGTGTGGGGCAGAAGGCAGCAGGTGCCTGCACCCCTCTCCATGGGAACCCCCCAGGCATGCATGTTCCCCCCCCCCCTTTGGGGCACCTGCCAGGCACCCAAAGCGTCCCCCCTCTGCATGAACAACCCCACTGGCCCAATCACCCTCACTCCCATGGCTCCAAGCACACACTGCTGGGCATGACTGACCCCTGCCACCCAGCATAAGAATCCGCCTCCATGCAAAAGCACCCCCAATGCTCAGGCATCTCCCCCCACCAGGCCCAAACACCCCCTGTGCTCAAGCATCTCTGCACCATGCCTGAGCACCCCACACAGACCCAAGCATACCCCCTCATTGCCTGAGCACCCCCCATGC